GTGGCAGAGCTAAAATTCAAACTCTGAAGTCTATTATTTTAAGCATATGGTATACAGCCTTAAAAGCACTGCCTTAAAATGATTCTAATGCAATAGAACCTCCACAACTGACCATCTCCCTATACTGACCTCCTCCTGAAGCTGACCTAATATTCATGGACCAGATATGCACCACATGTCCATGTCAGTACAGTGGGCCTAGTTCTTTATACTGACCACCTCCATGTGTGGACCAATTTGTCAAAGTCCCTTGGGTGCTCAACTTACAAAGGTTCCACTCCATATTTGTAACCGTATGGGCAATGTCTCAGAGATGAAAAAAAGCTGTTTGGGGTAAAAATTACTGTTTTGAAAATACATGGACTTTGTTCTCACTCTAAAATCATCAGAATATTTTATTCAAGTAGTGCAGATATTAGAAATGTTCAATATCAAATATTTGTTATTCAGTTTACAGCAGTTTCTTCTAGACAGTCATTCATACAAAACGAGGTTATTTCTAGGCTGGCCAGCCTGCCGTTTTGAGGGCCTGCTCCATTGGGTACCCGATGACAGGATAAGTTCCATTGGTAAGACTATAAGAGAAAGGTTATGTTTTCTAGAGAAGAAAAATAAAAGTCAAGCACATTTTTCTAGAAGCAGAGGGCTCCTGAGTGGACTTCCCCATTCCTACACCCAGCCCCCTTACCCAGTCCCTGTTCCAAAACATCTCCAGGCCTGGAAAGCAAGCGAAGCTTCAGACCATGCTGGGATCATCCAGAACAGCCTAGAAGCCCCTGCTAACCTGCAATCCAGAGCTCAAGGGATGTCTTAGGCTGAGCCACCATCAACCAGCACAGCGAAAAAATCGCAGAGCGAAAAAATCTCACAGCTCCTTTATCCACCATCAACCCACAGCACAGGATGAAAACAGCACTGCCTTTTTGACACAACTCAGACAGCCCTTTTGTGACTAATAGTCATTCTCAAAGCCTCCTTAATTATCACTGTAAATTTTCCTCAACTGCATACATTAATTTTAAAGGATAACAAGGAATCTGTGATGTGATTTTCCCAAAGCTCAGCAATGCTCCAGGGCTGGTCCTTGTCCAGGTGCTTCCCCAGGCCAGCCCTGCAAGACACTGCATGGTTAGGGACAAAATTAGACATGTGCAAGGACTGGGCACTTCTGTCAAAGGGCAGGAGGCATTGGGCCCCAGGCGGGGAGGTGAGGTAATTATGGAAGGACAGTGCCCACCCCAGGGGCTGCTCCATTTCTCATCCCTGAGGAGGCCTTTGCCAATCAGAAAAGAGAATCCTTTAACAACAGCTCCCCACCTCTTGGCTGCGAACCACTCAAGGCTTCTCAGTAAATGTTTCCAGGCAGGTGGTGAGCAAAACCAGAAAGGAAAACAACAGCCCTGGGTAGAAAAGGAGACGCAGGAGCTGTGTCCGGAATTACAGAATTCACCTACTCTGCAAGGTGGGACCGTTTCTCTCAAAACCAAAGGTCTGGATCGCTCCTTGCTTTCCTGCATTACAGGCTGGCAAGAAGTGGGGTTGTGCCCACTGATATGGACCCAGCTCGGTGGGAGATCACTTCAGCCATTACAGGTGCACAGGATGGCCATTTGGGGCCCTGTCCTCCGGGACTCTTCACCAAGAGGATATTGTATCAAACAGGAATCATAAAATTAAAGAACTCTGTGGGGATTTGAGGCAATCCCTACATCTTCAGATGAACTACTTCATTCATTCATTCTTTATTTTACTGCTTATTAAGAATTTCAGACTTAATGGAAATATGAAATACAGAAATAGATAAGGAAGGAATTGAATCACCTGTGGTCCCACTATTCACTGCCCTTAACCTTTTTTTTTTTTTTGCAGTTTTTGGCCACAGCTAGGTTTGAACCTCCACCTCCAGCATATGGGGCCTGCACCCTACTCCTTTGAGCCACAGGCGCTGCCCCCCTTAACCTTTTTGTGTTTTCCTCTCCTGGTTCCCCCCACGAATGTATAAGAGGTCGTATATGAATATGCACCGCCATGCATCACTTAACAGTGGGGATATGTCCCGACAAATGCACCATCAAGTGATTTCATTCTTATGGGAACAAAATAGTGTGTACTTACACAAAACCAGAGAGAACTCACAACATACCCAGACTGGATTCTAGCTTATTGCTCCTAGCCTGTACAGTATGTTTCTGTACTGGTGAGCAATTGTAAGACACAAGTTGTTATCTAAACATATCTAAACAGAGACAAGGTACAGTAAAGTACTGTATTATAATCTTAAGGGACTGCCCTCATATTCCTGGTCTGTTGTTGGTGCACGGTATACTCTCCGTACTGTCGCATAAGAAAGCTTACGTCCCGTACAGCATGCATACGTGTGTGCAGACACTTGCTTTGCTTTTTCAGCTTATTTCCTTAAGGTAAGATCCCAGAAGTAAAATAAACAGAAAAGGGATGGACACTTTTAAAATTCTCACCAATTTGCAGCCTCATCTTAAAAGCTCTGAAGGGAGTGATCATACACCCTCCTCTAGTAACTTGTAAACACACTTACAAAAGTGTCTCATGCTGATGAATGCAGTTATTGGTAAGAAGGGGAGAATGATCCCATGCAGAAAGTTCTTCGTGCTGTCTGCACTAATCCCTTCTGCTGAATTAACATCAAACTTGTTTCTTCTTGTCTTGTTCTCAGTGAATGAAAACAGCACTTCCTATTGTGCCCCTGACCAGTTTCTATGAAGAAAACGTATTGTCAGGTCACTCTCACCCCTTTTGTGTCTTCTGAAGCCGGCTAAACGGAGCCCGAGTCATTTACATATGCTCAAGGCCCAAATGTGACTCACAGGGCTTTTCTCCTGTGTGCATTTTGCGGTCTGTCCCAGACAGAAAGCCTCTTTCTTCCAGCAGACATCTCTGATAAGGTCCTGACATTACCTCATTCACCCATAAGCCACAAGCTCCTATTTATACACTCAAGACTCAACGTGGTACCACACAGGAGTGCTGATTCATAGCCCAATGATTGCATTGTATTTGTCCTTTACTGTAAATAAGTACAAACAAAAGTTTATATTTTCCACTTCTGAATATTTTTACCAAGAGAAAACTTTCCCTCTACAAATGGATCCCAGACTACTCATAGATATTTTCAGGAATATGAATATGAAGAAGAAAGGAAATTGATTTTAATGATGTGTAAATCTGAAATGAAATAATGATCTAATCTCTTGAAGTCATCATTTAGAAAATGGCCTTTGGTTTTTAACAGAATTTGCCTTTCTAATGATAAAGTAATACAAATAGTATTTATCAGATACTCACTATATGCCATGCACTATGGTAAGCACTTAGCTTCTGCTTGTTTACTCAGTTCCTCACAGGAACTCTATAAAGTAGGTACTAAGATTACCCTATTTTTACAAAGGAGAAAACTGAGGGACTTGCTACAAATGTCCTTGCAGCAACCTGAGTGGGTCTTAAAAACATAACATTTAGTTTAAAACAATAGTAAGAAGCAGAATGATAAATACAACACAAAGCCATTTATAAAATTAGAAGACGTACATATAAAACAAGACACATTTTTAAGAATACAGATAGAACATCAAACGTGTCAGAGTAGTTATCTATGGGGAGGAGGAGTGAGAAATGGGGATAAAAGGAAATAAGTTGTCACAAGAGAAGCCTCGCATGCAGCAATGAGAATGGTGTGCCACTGAGCAGATAGTAGACTGAGCAGGATAGTACCTCCACCTTCTGCACTGAGGTCCTCCGAAAATAACAAATGATCCCACAGCTTATAGCAGGGAGACAGTAACAGACCTCTCTGCCTCGAGAGCCAGGGACCTCGACTTGAATGCAGGTGTCTTGCACACACCCCCTCCCCGTGCCCCATGCAGCACAACTAGTCTATGAACCTTCAATTCCTTTTTTAAAATTTTTTTGTTTTTTGTTTTTTAAATTTTGCTTTTCTTTTTAAATTTTATTTTATTTTATTTTATTTTTTATGGAGACAGAGTCTCACTTTGTGTCCTTCAGTAGAGTACCATGGAATCATAGCTTACAGCAACCTCCGCCAACCCCTGGGTCCCTGGGTTTAAGTGATTCTCTAGCCTAAACCTCCCAAGTAGCTGGGATTACAGACGCCTGCCAGAATGCCCAGCAATTTTTGGTAGAGACAGGGTCTCACTCTGGCTCTCACTCTGGCCCATGCTGGTCTTGAACCTCTGAGCACAGGTGATCCACCTGCCTTGGCCTCCCACAGCTTGGGACGATAGGCATGAGCCACCATGCCCAGCTGAACCTTCAATTTCGAAAAGAGACCTGCCACATAGCTAAACCTCTTTAGGCTTCCACACTTGTCCTTCTCTAATTACAGTTTACTGGATCTTGAGGGATAAGTGGATTTGCTCTATTTCTTACATGCCAAGTTCAAACATGGGCTGCACAGCCAGCCATTCATCCATTCATCTGCCAAGTTTTTATTGAGTATTTATTGTGTGCTGGGCATTGGGCCAAGCAGAAGGCAGATAGAGATGAACAAGCTAGATTTCTGGCCTCCATGAGCTCCCAGATACTGAGCCATTCTCTAACTATACTCAGGCAGACCTCTCTCCTCCTGATGGTGCCTTTGCATGGCTACTGTTAGAGCACAGGACAATTCAAAGTTCCACCAAGCAAGTGTGTTATAATAGCAACCATGCTTATGTCCATGACTGGGAATTGATTTTTCTTGCAGCCAATCCTTGAGGTGATCAAGAAAGAATAATATATGCAGTGCCAACCCTAGTGATTATGGTAAAATCAGCCTCATTGGCTCATGTCATAACTTCTCTTTCCATACCAGTAGGTGAATCTCTCAGACACATAGTGAGAAGTAGGCCATTCTATAAGGAAAGAATGAAATGTTGGAATGGGGTGTTTAGTGTGGCACTGCAGAAGCCACAGACTCCCAGGAGCTGCAGGCTTGGCTGAGACCCACTGGGAGTCCCTTGACTTACCTCAATAATTTTACAGGTGTCTTCCAGCTCACTGATCACTCCCTGGACTCGATCATTGCTTCCTACGAGGACCGCGATGCCATTGCTGAGCTCAGACTAACAAAGAGAAAAGAAGGACACAAGATCTAGGGATTTCCTAGTCACCACTGTTTGTAGACTAGTCATAGTATTATCCTTATGTGTTCTTAATCTAGGGTCCATGAAACCCCTAAGGAGTGCTGGGGGGGGGGGGGCTTAGGAGACTTATGAACCTTCCATTATTGCAAGCAGACTTTTGTATATGAACTCATTCGTGGGGGAAGAGATTTATAGTTTTCACATTATTAATGGAGACACTGTTAAAAAAATTAAGAACAATGAATTATAGGCCATTGAGAATAGCATGTTCGTTCAAGCTAAAGAATTTTAAAGTATTGTTTAATAAGTGTAATGGAGTCCAATATATGACTTTATGAACCCAAAATAATAATTCTTCGCTTAGTGTTGCTCAAGATCAGTTTCACTTGGGCAATGTATATAGCAAATATTCATTTATTCAACATATGATTATCAAGGGCCTACTATGCTAAGTATATAATAGATACATACAGAAATACACACTAGACTAAGTCATTACAGACTCATATAAATAGAACATTCAACTGGTTCTAGGGGGAAATGTCAACTTTGAAATTTTTTTCTTTTTGCCTGAGAAGATTTGCTATTGTTCATATTTACCCTGTTTCCAATGCTGGCTTTTCAATGGGGACTTCAGAGGCCTCGGAGCTTTTCCTAACTGTGCCCCAAACTTCTTTACGATGTTGGGCAAAACATATCAATTGGGACTTTAATTATTTCACATTTAAAGAAAGAAGGTTGTGCCAAAACAGTAACTGTAAAACATTTTAAAGCTGCAGAAAATCTTCTTCAAATGGAAGTTAATATGAAATCTATAAGTAAAAATGAAACTGCTTTGGCCACCCAAGAGGTGGGAAGAACAGTCCACTGTTCTGTCCTTCTGTCCATCTCTCATAAATCTCCAGGGCTCTGAGGGAAGCAGTGTGAAACAGGTGCTACCTAACATGACTTTGGGGAGAGGAGAAGGGGGGATAAATGATTAAGCGAATTGAGAAATAAATGTTATAAATAACTTGCAAAATCCTATTTCTTCGGAAGCTGGTAGTTACTAGTTGTAACTGGTTTTGCTCAACAGTTACTAGTTGTAACTGGTTTTGCTCAACAGTTTAACTTCCAAATGTGATCCCCACTCTGATCTTCATCGTGAAACACTGACGGGCAGCAGAATGGATGATTCTAACTCATGATCTTCACTGTGAAACACTGACGGGACCCAGAATGGATGATTCTAACTCAAAGCAGCTGGGAGGTAGAGCTGATCAACTCCTCAGTGCCGGAAGCAGCCACGTCAACTGAACAGCCAACCCCACTTTCCTCTGCCCCAAATGGGTCAGCTCTGACCTGCTTGAGAACGAAACCGGGGTAGCACGGTGTGTACCGGGACACGGCCTTGGTCAGAGGGAGGGGCTGTGGCTGAGGCCCTGAGGTGACAGGAAGGCAGGTACTCGGAAGGGGCCCTTTAGCAACTGGCCTGGTTGACAGGGGTAGCGGAAGGCAACGGTTTGAAGTCGTTCTGTAGCTACACGTCACTGCAAGGCTGCCTCATTAGGAGCGGGGCAGGAAAGGCCTTGAGGAGGGCAAAAGGGACCTTTCATTGGTGAATAAAGAAAAGCAGTCCTCGACGGGAGTACAGAGCTATCTTTTCTTCCCATAATCTAAACTTCAAATAATCTTGAGCAGTTTGAGCTCAGGGTGGGTTCCCTAACACTATTCGTCTTCAGCGACCTCCAGAGGGGACAAAACAGTAACCCTCTCCTGTAGCCTTCCTGAACCTCTGCACCTCTGCCGCCCTCGGGGACGTCCGGCCAGTGGTCACGCGCAGCGCCCCTCCCCGCAGGCCCCCCAGCGCGCCCCACCGTCCTGCGGCCTTGGTTGGGGCAGCCTTCTTCCCCGGCAAGGAGCCGGGCACGCTGGCGCTCGGAAGGTGCTGCGTGGGGGCTGGGGGGCTCTTACCTTCTGCCTCTGGAACACGTGAGTGAGGGGAGCCACCTGGCAGTCCTTGTGCGCCCCGAACACCTTGCACAGAGAGCAGGTGGGCACCTCGCAGTTCAGACAGTAGATGTTGATGCGCTCCTCCTCGTGCTCCTCGCACACCGGCTGGTCCGACTTCTTTTCTGGCCTGGGAGGAGGTAGGCAGATGAAAGTCTGTGGCTCGCCTTAGAGGCAGCGCAGGGACTGGAGATGGGCCTTGCCAACTCTATTCCAGAAGACTCCCGGAGGCCCGTGTGGGTCCTCAGAGCCCACCAAATTCAGCTGACTGACGGGTTTGGCAGCAGCATGCTGGCAAATCTCTAACACCTGCTGGGGGTAGGACCCTAGGGGTATGGAGACCCTGATTTATAGCACCTGCCAGATTCCACCACGGCCGATTTTTCGAGTTATTTATGGTTTGGGGAATCCCCTAGGGAGATTCTTGAAAGTCAAACCCTGGGCCCCAGTAAGCAGTTAGGAGTGAACTCCAAGCGCTGTGTCCACACGCTCAGGAGTTTCTCAAGAGACACCTTCCCGTTAGGACCAAAGAAGGGGAAGTTGCCAAGAAGAAATCTCAAGTTTGCGCTGGCTTTGTGGAGGAGCTCTATCCCACTCCTCCAGCCTCTGACCCAGAAAACACTTTTTCTACCCGAAGGAATGAGGATTGGAGTAACTAGCAGGACCTTGAATCTTCTCATGATTGATCTGGGTGGGGGCCGGAGGTAGCTGTGTGTGAGCAGGAGGTCCAGCCTCCAGGAATTCTGATACATCCTATCTAAATAGTTTTCAGAAGGATTTGAAGAACTCAAATCCAAAAGCTTTCCTATTATTCCCAAACATATTGTTATTTAGAAGCATCTTAAATTTGGGACTAAATTTTTTTTATTGCTATAGAGATCATTATTTTTAAACTCCTGGTTTTTATGGACCATGAAATCAATTATTATGGGCTATGAAATCAATTTAGGGGGCCATGACCAGGATTGTCAAAATCAACATTAAATAGAGTAGCAAAAGTATGCATAAATGTCTACATAAATATTTATATATCCATCCATGTATGTAAATGATCATTGGATCACAATATAGAATGTACTTCCTACTGTGAAGGGTGAATAAAAATGTTTGGACACCATTGATACTGATGTAGCTGTGGTGTCAGAAAAGGTGCTGAGGTACCTCTCTGAACCACTAGGTAGAAGTCAAGTACTTGAGATTGGTTGGGCAACCTTGGGCAAAAGGTGGAGAGAAGCTCTGGATCTGATAAAGAAATTGAATGGACTTCCAGTTTCAAGACTTTGGAATCTGATTTTTACAAAAGAGATTTCCATCAGGTCTTGTAGCAATATGCTTTCCATGAAGTCTATGACCTTCTGACTTGACCATATGCTTGGAACTCAAATAAAGCAAGTGAACTCCACAGCTGAGAAAATCCTCCTCCTCTCAGATTTGTCTGTTTCCTTCCTTAGAGTGAGAGCATCCTGAGGGCAGGGCCATGATGTGCCTTCTTGTCTTGCTGATTCTCCAGTACCCAGAACAGTGCCTGTCACTGGGGGGGATGAGGGGGGCCTCAGTAAATACTTGTTAAACTAATGAGTGAGGAGATGAAAGGGAATTTGCCATACTTTTGTTCTCTGTGCTCTAACATAACATCACCCAGCTGGAGAAGGCATGGGAAAGCCAGGGCCACCAGGTACTTGGTAAAGGATGAGAAAGCCAATGGTTTTGTGGAGACTTACTGTCTCTAACCTTTCTGCAGGAGGTCAGAGTTGCCCTGTACTTCACCCTCTCCCATTTTTGCTGCTGCCTCCAATGACCAGAGTTGGGCTCTTCTCACTCTGAATATCCAAGGTTACTCCAGGGTCTTCTAATATACACCTAGGCTCAGGGTCCTGGTCTGATAAGATTGTCAGCCTTCAGACAACAACTGGGTTTATGCCCAGACATGTGGCTAAGCCCTCTGGGCAACTTGGTTTTGCTAGCAAGTCAAAATGTCTCAGAGGCAAGTCTCAAGCTCAAGAAATAACAGGATAAGAAGAATTTAAAAATCACAAAACATCCCCAGTCCACCCAACTAAGTGCTTTACTGTTGGAAATTTGGTTCATTGCTTTTATGCAATTTGCTTCCCAGCACCTGGGGACTATATTTGGCCGCTGCAACAAGCAGACTTAGTGAAGGTAAAAATGTGTCTTGTAATTTTACTAATGCTACAAATTTCAACATCTCCTCTTCTCTGGATTTCATAACAAGTATTGTTATTTTTTCACATTTCAAGTTCCCTCTGTGGCAAATAGCAAAACATAAAATTATTGCAATAAATAGAACATGTAAGAATATTTGTGATGTTGCTTAATCAGCTGGCACTTCCAGAGCAACTATTCTGTGCAAGGCACTGTACAAAGACTGAAACAGTTGTTATATAAATTCCCTTAAGAACTGCTTGGTTATTAATTGGCTGGTTATGTTTTTAAAGAGATAGTGGGTGTATTTTTATTTTAAAGTCATGAAATATAATGAGATAAGGTCTGGAAAGTGACAGCAACAACAAAGGTACTTTCCTTCTTGCTAAGAGACTTTGAAAACCAGGGGAACAGCTGGCCACAATCTCTGCAATATGCCATCAGCAATTCTTTTTCTTTCCCAAACCCATCTATATCCTGGTACTATCTAATTTAGTTTTGGATCTTAAGCAGAAACTAATAGCCATAATAATTACAATAATTATGTTAGATTTATAGAACAGCTTTCCTTCCAAGAGTGCAAGCCTCTTAAAGCCCTGCAGATGTTCCACAAATACATGTTCCCTAATAGAATCACAATGAGGCCATTTCTAGATGATCTCAATGTGCCTGCAAGCTTTGTGGACTGGACTGACCTGTACATAATTGATAAAGGGCTCTTTACACCGTGCCTTCTAGGAATAAACTTCGTCTCTAGGAAACGAATTCTATAGCCAATGTGGTTCCATGATTGAGAAGCCTTCTTTATTTTTTTTATATGAGTGGATATATATGTGTATGTATATATATATATACAGCATATCAATCAGTCCATTGGTGAAAGCTAAGAGTATATGCTGTAAATACAATCCAAGGGAATAAGGAAACATAAACTGAACTCTGGATTTTGTTGTTTTTTTTTTTTTTTCTCCCATGTCTCTGCCTAAGTTCCTAAAGGCCAGGCCTATGCTTTGATTTGCAACTTCCCATAGAGTCAGTATGGTAACAAATTATGTTAGGGGGATTTGCTTTTATTATTTCTATCCAGACAATTTTAAGGTAAAACTCTCTGAACTAGGAACTTCACTATTTTGGCTTATGCCATTTCTGTTAAGTTGTATACTAGAATTTTTCTGCTTTGTAGGATCTAGAGCTACCAAGGACCTGTGAACTGCAAAAATAACTAAAGTGTGTTTAATGCTAGTCTTTAAGGGAGGAGGGGCAGCATTATGCCTCTTTCAGCATCACCATCGGGGATCATGGATTAGAACTAATGTGTCACTTCACTCTCAAATTGGCCCAAAAGCATGGGTACCAGCTTGCTTCCCTCCTCTCATGAGCAACTCTCAGTCCCACTGGGAAGCACTGACTTGGAAAAACATTTTCCTATAAAACAATTAGACCATGACTGGCAAATAATCACTCAGTGTAGTAATTCATTAAAACTAACAAACAAACAAAGATAAGCTTAGCATGGGTTTTCACGCAGGGAGACTTACCTTGTGGACTCCTGCTTGTAGATGTCAATGATATTTTCCACGAGCAGGTTCCTCTGAAGTCCATATACCCCATGTCTGTCCAAAACCACTTCATGTCTACAAGATGGGCAGCGGAATCGGCCCCCCGAGGCCACAGTGGTGCCTCCTCTTGTGGGCAAGTACGGGTTAGAGGCCTGTTCTTGCCAAGCAAGGAAAGAGTGATTGAGTAATGCTACAGGTAGCTTTTCTGAGATTTATTTTCACTCTCTGTTACTACAAACAACATGAACCTCTACTTTAACCTTGTCATAAGATAATCCCTCAGGGCCTTTCCGTCAAGTCGTTCTGAAACACAGGGCCAAGCCTTCTCCACAGTCATCCATTGTCAGTGTAAGGTGTTTTCTAGCCAACATTTTCATAACCAAAAATTCCAGCCAGAAACTCCATATTAATGTCTTGGACAGTAATTCATTTTGAAACAGATTCAATGGTTTGAATGTTTTTTTTTTTTTTTAAACAAATGTGATTCTTAGTATTAAAATAAAACTAGATTTAGAAGTGGGGAGGATCTTGCTAGCAAAGCACAAAGAAAATCGTTGAAAGAAATTTGGTTTTCTTGAAAATGAGTGCCGCTTTATAAAGTTTTCTAAAGGCATTCACCTCAATCTTAAGCACTTGACTTGAAGAAGAGGGACTCTTTTCTACTCCCCCCATCCCAAACATACCTACCTGGAAAATATCACTGGCACATTTCCTACACAGGTTATGCTGACAAGGGAGAATGACCACAGGTTTTGTGAACATCTCTAGGCAGATGGGACAGATGAGTTGTTTCTCCAAGTTATCCATAGTCTGTTGCTCTTTGGAAAAAGACTTGTAATTCAAAGATGCGCTCATCTCCTGGCCGTCCTGAGTCCACTGCCAGGGAAAGAGTGCTCCGGATGGCTTCTGTAGGTGTTTCCTGGAAATAATTCCAAAGACTGTGTGATCAAGTGTCCTTTATGCTTCTCTCGGTGGAAGACATTGCTTCAGGCCCTGGTTCAGAGTGGGCGCTTGGAGCTGTTTTTAGCAGCCTGTGGTCACGTGACAGTGGACTGACTTGTCCATATAAGCCACTGACAGGAAGATGGATTCTGACAGGTGACAGAGAGCAGGAGTCAACATTCTTGCCCCAGGGAGGGAAGAGGGTGGGTGGGAAGGAGGATTACAAACTCCATTTAGACAGAGGTTGTGAGGAACAGGAGGTCAGAGCTGACAGTTGTCAACAACAAATGCAAATGTGTATGCCCGTGCTTCTGCAAGCACTCGGTTAGAACTTGGGGACTTCTCCAGTAAAGTGTAGAATGCAGCCCAAGAGCCATTTCTGTCTCTGGAGAGCTTAGGAATCAAGTCACTAAAAGTAGCATGCCTTTCACCTTCTTAGCGGAAACAAGCAACACATGTCATGAGAATGGGTATTCTGGCTTCACAAGGGGCCATCACCAAAAAGGCTCTCTTCATGTTAAATATTTTATCTTTGCCAGGGTTGTGGTCCAGGAAAAACTCTAATTTAAAAGCTGAATTCAAATCCTTTCATCATAAAAGTTTCCACACACAGAGAAAAATTCAGACACCAGTTAATGATCCAATGTTGAAGAAAAAAATAAGTTAAATAAGAAAACTCTAGCAGGTCTTTTTCTCTTCCACATTTCTTTCTTCCTCCTTAAACTTCTTCCTTCCCATAGCCCTGTCCCCACCCCACACATGCCCGAAAACAGAAGGAAAATTTGACAGTCTTTAAAATAGAAAAGCTAGTATTCAGTAACCTCAGTACTAATATGAAGCCAGTAGATGAATAAATACGTGCCCATTCAAGAGAAAAGCACGGTTAAATTCAAGTGGGGAGAGGAAGGAGGGTGAATAAGCTCTCACCTAACAGGCACCGGGTATGCGGCACCTCCTGGGTGAAGGGCTCAACTACAACTTGAACTTTACCTAACAAATGCAAACAACATAACCTAATTGTTTTTACCTACGTATTAATCTGGAATTTAAAAACAAGAAATCAAAAACAATTTAAATTTGTTTACAACAGTAATTAGTACTGAGGTAGAAACTGGTGCAGGAGTCGGGGAGGGTAACGTATGGCAGAGCTATTATTTCATTTTGCCACACAGCTGGGCACAGCTCCCAGGGCCATGGACAACCAAGCTGAGATTGGGAGTTCTGCTTCTGTGGCTGTTTTATCTGCCCCAGAAATACCTACATTCCTTTGCATGTGTCTTTTCTTCTAAGGCAGTTTTGAAATGACAGTTTCCCTGATCTTTTCTGATATTTTTGGTCTGCTCTGGAGTCACGAACATCTCTTTTGATATTTGCTAGGATTTCGTGAAGCAACTGTTTAATATATGTTGTATTTTAAAATGTTAAATCAGATCAAAAATGAAAAAGAAATCCATATCTGTTTATATGTGGATAATCTGCAGCTTTATTTCTCCTTGATTATAAAAACCTTGAGCAAGGAACACATTTTGGTAATCTATCCCTGGTATAAACTTAATTACCAATAAAGAGTAGGTCAGCGTGACTGGTTATGTG